TGTGGCCCTCAGAGGGCGTTGGGCCTAATCCCAACATTACTCCCCCCTCGGTGTTCGGTTGACGAACTGGGTTGGGAGTCTTGTTAGCACAGTGTTTGACCTTGAGGATGAGGAGTGATGTTTTATGTTCATGTCTGCCCTCACACACGACCGATCTAGGCGGCCTGAAGCCATCGCGGCCAAGTTTGTTGTGCATGTGTATGCCGGCTTCCTATCGAGCAGGCGTGGGGGAGCTGGTGTTAAAACCAAGCAAGCTCGGGCCATAGCTGAGGAAAAAATGTATGACACAGAGTCATGTGTTATAGCCGTAGCTGAAGTGAAATAGGTGACTCGGGGTCACTATGGCCGGAGCCGAAGTAGAACTATTGACTTGGCGTCACAATGGCTGGAGCCGAGGCATCATGACATAGAGCCAGGAAACTGAGGCGACGACCTGAAACCAGGAAGCTCAGGAGTGACGACCTGAAACCAGGAATCTCAAGGGTGACGACCTGGAAGCAGGAAACTGAGGAGTGACGACCTGGAACCAGGAAGCTCGGTAATGACGACCTGAAACCAGGAATCTCAAGAGTGACGACCTGGAAGCAGGAAACTGAGGAGCGACGACCTGGAACCAGGAAGCTCGGTAGTGACGACCTGAAACCAGGAAGCTCAGGTCGCTATGATCACGAGGTGAGGCAACGTGATCTCATATTCCATGTGACTTGAGTTTTTTGATCGCCACTTTACCAGCCCGCACTAGTGGTGCTGACAAATAGGGCGACCTGGGTCACCCATTGATTTATGCGAAGGTTGAGGGCCTGTATATAAGCTGCAATCCGTGTGACGCTCTGACAAATGCGTTTGTCATCTCGATGTGTCGCGAGCTGGATGATGGGATTTTAGCATAAAATCTACACTTTGAACGAATTGTCACGGGTGGGCCGATCTGGCATAACGTCATGTTTGTAACGACCTGGTAGGTGTGCTCGCAACGGCGAGCTGATGTGACAGTAGCAGGTACACATCAGCAATGACGATCTGAGTCTTGGATTTTTTGAATCAAGCAGATCTCTGAGGAGATACGGTTGATCTCCCCGTATCCTTTTGTCTTCCCCGTCATAAATGCTGGCTCAGCCTTTGAGGGACGTGACAGCTAAAGCCGGCGCACATTATGCAAAAGGGACGTTAAGCGTGTGCCACGTGTATGAAGCGAATTGGCGCGTCAGAAACACGCGTACGGCAATTAAACACTACCATATCCTTCTCTACGTAACCGTTTCCTCTTTCA